TGTGAATACTCTGACATGTGATTTGCTGTAAGGGATCTATATTTGAAGCCCAGGGATGGCCCATGGTATTATAATATGTACACAAATAATTCACATTTGTGGTTTTTCAACTTTACAGTAGTAAAAAACCAACATATAATCAGTGGAGACTATACTTAAAACTCTGAATTCAATCTTTTCCCAGGAAGCAATATGCAGTGCCGTATAGTATTCTCTTGCAGTGCTGGGCTGTGGGAGAAATTTGCAGCACACAGATGGCCACATGATCATGACAGTGAACAACCAGCTCTCCAACAGAATGCTATTTCTAAGCTAGATTTTTGGTAGATTAGGTGTAGTACACGTATCCTCAATTTACAACACTTACCATGTCTAATAGTTCGTTGAGACATAATCCTAACGCAGAATAAGGTGCATCTATATTTTGGTTTTCATTCACGATTCCAGGCTCATATATAGCTCTTTATAGCTCTTGTCATTTTCACAGAACTAGAACACTGAGAATATCTTTTGTTGAGATACTTGGTCTTTGGTCTTCATTCTTGAAACTGCTCCTGAATAACTTCTGAACAACAGAGGTATAAATCTTGTCCAACCACACCTGAGGTTACACAGATGCAGTAACTAAAATCAGATGAGGTGACTTGGAGAGAGTTCCTAGGCACCCACAGAATGGTGTGGAGGGCCAGGGGAGCCCCTCAGTGTGCTCAGAGGGTTGGAAGGAAACTCCTGGGAGCGTAAAGGGGTTAAAAGTTGAGTTAATGACCAATGAGCAGTGATTCCATCAGTCATCCAGACTTCATGAAGCCCACTAAAAATTCAAAAGATTAAGTTCAAGGGTTTCCAGAAAGGTGAATCAGAACACATGCATGTGCTGGGAGTTAGAGACACCACAACTCTGTGGGGATGGAAGCCCATGCTTGGGATCCTTCTAATCCCTTCCTTGCGTTTATCTTCATTGAGTTATTTGTTTGTCAGGCACTCGGCCTTCATGGCAGGTGGTGAGCTGTGAATGAACGAATCCTGTGAACTGTGCATGCTCCTCGGAAGGACATAGGTCAAGAGGCCCCCAAACTATCTGCCTCCTCATCCTATGCACGCCGTGCATCCCTGTGGGAAAAACTGTCTTTCATAACACATGTCTTTTATGCCCAAAAGGTTGAAGATATTCTTTGCTTTAAAGTGTTCTTTGTAATAAGCAAGTAAATACAAAAATACATACTGACAAAGAAGTTTTAAGAGTGGCTCCCAGAACCCTGATAACCAATTATATCATTCATCATCAATAATATGACAAGATCCATGCTTTCAATCATGAGTTCATAGCTAATAACTGTGTCAATTGTAGCATGGTTCTCAGTTGCTGTTGCTGACTTTTGAAAACAGCTGTTTGGTCACTGACTTCAAATCAAAATCGCTCCACCCATCCCATGTAGTCCGAGAAAGGTTTCCAAGTGCCAGAGAGAAAAGGTTATCCCTTAAATGGCAGAATGGCTGATCCCAAAATCCTGGAATGCAACAACTTCTAAAACAAATGAATTGTCATTATGTGAAGGAACAGACTCAAAAGAATTTGAGGAATTCCAAAGATGGATGAGAGCAAAGGCCAGAATGAGTCAACCTACACTTTCTAGTGTCAGAACATAACTAAACATCATAGAAAAGATAACTGGCAGTTCTCCCCAGTCCCTGCTCTCTTGAACCTATGATCATTCGCTCAGCTTGTGCAGAGGAATGAATACTGTATTGCAAATTCTAAAAGATTAAATAGAATCAGTAAAAACCTAAATTTAAACCTCCCTTAATTTAACCTCTAATTCTTATAGATTATTTAGGGACCACTAATTATTTGGGAACTCTACTTCAGCTTTAACATTAAAAATAAATAAATAAATACAAACAAGCTAATAGTGGTATACATTTGAAAAAAAAATAGGTAGAGCTAGCAGTCTTTTCCTTCATGTATTACTGATTCTTTGTGCATATTTGCAGAGAGAGGTTATTGAAATAGATTTTTTTAAATATTCTAAATATATATGTCCATCTTTGATAAATCAAAAATAAAATAATTGTATTTGAAAAAAGTCACATCTTACTTTCCTGATAAGTTGTTAGCAGGTCACTGTTAACTTGGAAGCATATATATAAACTGTGCTATTGTGAGGATAATTTGTCTTTTCTCTACTTGATCAGTCCTTTTTAGATTTGCCTTTTTGGTTCATTTGCCTGCATTATTAAGGAGGATTATAAAGTGGTACATTGGAAATTTAGCTCTAAAATTCACTCATAGCATTCAGAATGTTGGTAGCGTGGAGTATAAAGCAAAATATGCTTGAGAAAGCTCAGGAGATGAGATCAGCTAGAAATTTGCACAGAGAACATTAGGGTTCTGGGTATTTAGCATATTTAAATGGGAAGATTCCAAATGTGAGAAGCAGTCTATGAGAAAAATTTCAAAGCTGAGTGGAAAAGACCAAAAATAAAAAAGTGGATCTATGTAAAAAGAACAACTAGAAAGTGCCATTTGAATCTCATAGACTGTGTTAGGCAAACTGACACCTGTACAGTTGAAAGTCCGCAAAGGTGCTTTAATATACATGGTCTTGGTCATACATAATAGCTCTGTGAGGTGCTTAGTATATTATGGTAGTTTTACAACTGAAGAAGCCACATTGTCTTCTGAATACAGCAAGATAAGACAGAAAAAGGGAAAGAATAAAGCTGAAAAAGAACAAGGAATAAAACTGAAAAGAATAAAGCTGAAAAAGAATTTATTATGAGAAAGTCTATACTATCTAAGGGAGGAGAGAAGAGAGCTGTCTCTGCCAAGCTGAAAGCCATGACAGGCTGTGTGGAGCCCTGAACTTGAGGCAAAATATAGAGAGGAAAAAACTCTTGAGTTAAGACAAATAACCTGAGCAGAGAAATAAGAGATTCTCTTGTCCTGGAAGTACATAGGTTTAACATTCTTCCCATGTTTGCTAACTTGAAAGGGAGATTTGAAATCTCTGGTCCGGCTGCAAATTAAAAGTCTATATGGTTTCTGAAGGGGATGAATTTTATTTTTCATTCAGAGAGTTTTGAAAAGCATGCTTTCTAAAATAATTGGGCCAGTTTTTACTTTTTCATTCTTTCTATGTTTTTCTCAAAATAGAGGTAGAATGGATAATAGCCAAGAACATAACTTGATACATAATTTCTACACAAAAGAAGGAAATAGGTCATCCCCTCATCAACCTAAAAATTAAAATATGAAATCTCTTCTCTTTTGGATAGGTATGTTATCTTTCAAATTTCAAAATTATACAGACTGTTGCAATATTCTGCTATTATGATGTGTGTGCCATTAATGTTTTTGCTCTTTGAATGTTGAGAACTTTTGTAAAATCTGTTTTAGAGGTATACTCATTGGAGTTCTGAGGTAGTGACTAAAAGACTTACAGTTTGCACTGTCTTTTTTTTTTTTTTAATTTGTGGAGAGCTGAGCCATCAACTATATTAGAAGGGGGGAGAAAAAAGAAGGAAAGAAGAGAGGAAGCAAAGAGGGAAGATGGGAAAGCGGGGAAAACAAAAACAAGAGAAAAAGTTGACCTTACTTTCTTCTATTGTTTCAACAATTAATGGACGCAATGGCTTTCGCTTCTGGATGACCAGCAATGAAATTGCCTTGCTGTGGGTCGAGCAACTGGTGATTGATTATATTTGTTGCTGCTTGGTGCCTTTGCGTTAGATTTAGGGAGCTGGCCTACCCATGCAAGAGAAAGGGAAACGTGAATGGAGAAAGGAGAGAAAGCGAACCGCGAATGGAGAAGGGAATGAAGGTCAAGTTGACAGTGGTCAGGCTCTTCGGGGTTGTTCTTCTGCTGGTGTCAAGGAGGGAGCACCGTGACAGATGAACGATGGGATGGGACCAGGCCAAAAGCACTCTAATAAAAGGTTCCAGGAAAGAACACAGGCGACCTAGGGAAATGCGCTGCGGTCAAGCTTGATCCTGGGAAAAGAGGCCCTGGAGAAAGCAGATGAGAGAGATAGGAAGGAAGACAGGGAGGGGGAGCCGCTGGGTGCGAGGGACGAAGGGAGGGGGCGGGCGGGGTTCTGAAAAGTGAGAGGGGGCGAGCGCTGGTCGTGGCCTGCAGCAGGGGCTGGGGACCCCAGGTGGGCAAAGGGGAAGGCCAGGAGGCTGGGGTGGGGGAGACCTGCAGACCCGGCCAGGACCGGACCGGACCGTCCAGGCCAGGCCAGGACAGACCAGGACAGGACCCTGGCAGCCTCGGGCGCGGGCTCCTCGGGCTCCCTCCCTCCCCGGCGCATTGTTCCTTTGCCGGGAGACGAGGAAATTGCCTTTTGATTGCGGAAGTCCGCGCCGGGCCGGGGCGAGGCCGCGCGGGTCAGAATGGCAGCGTGGGAAGGGCTGAGCGCCGCCGGCCCCGCCGCCTGTCGCGCCCCGACCGCAGAGG